GGGGGGCTGGGGCAAGCTAGCTCTGCCAAGCAGTGCTTAGGGGGTGGCCAGACAATGGGGACACAGCTTGTCCTGCCTCCTCCCTGTGGGCAGAGGGAGACGTGCTAAGGTTTGGAGGGGTTTCTGGCCCATTGTCCTCTCAGCCTACTCACCAGGCTTAAAGTGCCAGTGGGAGTCCTTTGGCTCGCCCTGTGGGTCCCAGATGGCTGTAAAGCCACTGGCCACCCTGGTCTCAAAACCATTTTTCTCTTAATTGTGAAGGGATGCCAAACACTTCCCCGGAGACCCAGAATTACCATCTCTCCCCACCTACCGGGCTCTTGGCAAACTCATTCCTGTAGACAGTCACCTTGAAGGTCCCTTTCTGATCAGCGTCCAGCGCCATTACTCATATTTCCCTAGAACGTGTCCCTAGCTCTGCTTCATTTCTGCTGTACTTCAAAAGCAGATCCAGTCCTCGCTCGTGTGGCTTGTTGGCTGAGTGTCGCCCCATGCATTTAAAGGTCGCTGGTTCGATTCCTGGTGAGGGCACATTACCCAAGTTGTGGTTTGGACCCCAGTCAGGGCATGGTCAGAGCACATGTGGGAGGCAACCTATCAATGTTTCTCACATTGATATTTCTCTAACTAAAATCAATAAAAACTTTTTTTTTTAAAAAAAAAAAAAAGCAGATCCATTCTGGCTCTGCTGATCCCTTTGTGAGCTGACAGATTACTAAACTGAGAACTATAAGGTGGATTGTCAGGCCAGCTCTGCTGAGCTGTGTGACTTTTAATGAGTCCCTAACCTCTCTGGTCCCATCTGTCACTTCTCTGTGTTCATTTATCTACCCTTCTAGTCAGTCTGTGCCCATCACTGTTTCAGCCCTGGGGCCCCATGGCAGACATGGCCCCTGTTCTCTCAAGAGCCCAAGCCCTGCCCCATGGAGGTTTGGGGAGTAAGTTAGGAAACTTGTTTCCCTAATTTCAGGAACACAGGGCACCCAAATCTATGAGACACCCAGCAAAAGTGCTCTGAGGAAAATGTACAACCATGCTTTCATTATTTAGAAAAGATATGAACCTACTAGTAAGCAAGCTTAATTAAAAGGATAAATCCAAGCTAATTAAAAGTGACTTTTTAAAAATATTTTTTATTGATTTTTTTACAGAGAGGAAGGGAAAGGGATAGAAAGTTAGAAACATCGATGAGAAAAACATCGATCAGCTGCCTCCTGCACACCCCCCACTGGGGATATGCCCGCAACCAAGGTACATGCCCTTGACCGGAATCGAACCTGGGACCCTTGAGTCCGTAGGCTGACACTCTATCCACTGAGCCAAACCGGTCAGGGCAAAAGTGACTTTTTAAAAAAAGATTTTTTTTTTTAACTCAAGCACTTGATTGGGGGGTGGAGAAGAACAAGAACCAAATGGTCCAATGAGTGGTATTTAAATTGTCCTGGGCCTTAGGGAAAGAGTGAAATTTCCCATTCATGTAAAGTGGTTTTAATATTAAATCCTAATAAAGAGCCCTAGCCAGTTTCACTCAGTGGATTGAGCGTCAGCCCATGGACTAAAGAGTCACGGGTTCAAATCTGGGTCAAGGTTACATACCTTACTAGTAGTTGCAGGCTCAATCCCTGGCTGTCCCCAATAGGGGCCGTGTAGAAGGCAACCAAATTGATGTGTCTCTCTCACATCAGTGTTTCTTTCCCTCTGTCTCTCCCCTCCCTTAGAATTCAAAAAAGTCAATGGAAAGCCCACCTGGGTTGGCTCAGTGGTTGAGCGTTAACCTATGAACCAGGAGGTCATGGTTCAATTCCTGGTCAGGGCATATGCCTGGGTTTTGGGCTCAATCCCCGATTGTGCAGGAGGCAGCCAATCAATGATTCTCATCATTGATGTTTCTATCTCTCTTCCTTCTCTAAAATCAATTAAAAAATTTAAAAAAACTTGATAAAGATACTAAAAACCTAGAAGCCAAATTATGGCTGCAATATTTCAAAATAGTACCTATACATTAAGTCTAAAGACTATTAAGGGGAGAGAGGTTTGGGCCTGGGTGAAAAAGGTGAAGGGGTTAAAAAAAACTACAACCTCTTAACATAGAGACAACAGTGTGATGATTACCCAAGGGGAAGGGGTGGGGAGAGGTAGAAGAGGGTACAGGGGGCATAAATCATAATGGGAGATTGACTTTGGGTGGTGAACACAATATATAGATGATATTTTATAGAATTATACACCTGAAATCTATTTAATTTTATTAACCAATGTCACCCCAATAAGTTGAAAGAAAAAAGATGGGTCCGAGTAACAAAACAAAAAAAAATTAACACTAACCAAGTAGGGTTTATTCCAGGAGCACAAGGTTGGTTTAATAGAGAATCTATCAACATAATTCATTACATTAACAAATTAATGAAGAAAAATATGATCATATTAACAGATGCTGAAAGGAATTTGATTAAATTTCAGCAGCCATTCTTTAAAAAGCAGTAATGGAATAACAGGAAGTATCCTAATGGTTATACACTAAGATAATTTCAATTAGAATCAAGAACTAAACAGGGATGCCCACTAACAATTGTTTTAGGACACTTAACAAGGTAAAAACAAAAAAAAAATCTCTACCTTCTAGATCACATGTGCCTAAAAACTCAAGCCTTAATAGAGATATGATAGAACTAAGAGAATTTAGGAAGGTAGACAGATAATAGAGAAATAGTAATGACTGTTAAAAGCAAAGGCACTGAAAAAACATTCCATTTAAAATAACAAAAGCAGCCCAAACTGGTTTGGCTCAGTGGATAGAGCTTCAGCCTGTGGACTGAAGGGTCCCAGGTTCGATTCCGGTCAAGGGCATATACCTTGGTTGCGGGCACATCCCCAGTAGGGAGTGTGCAGGAGGCGGCTGATCGATGTCTCTCTCTCATGGATGTTTCTAACTCTCTATCCCTGTCCCTTCCTCTCTGTAAAAAATCAATAAAATATATTTTTTAAAAAAATAAATAAATAAAATAAAATAACAAAAGCAGCCCTGGCCTGGTAGCTCGGTTGGTTAGAGCAGTGTCCTCTATGCCAAGGTTGAGGGTTTGATCCCTGGTCAGGGCACATACAAGAATCAACCAGCCCTGGCCGGGTTTCTCAGTGGTTAGAGCATCGGCCCATGGACCAAAGGGTCCTGTGTTTGATACCCCATCCAGAGTATGTTATCTGGGTTGCAGGTTCCTCAGCCCCTGGAGGGGCGCGTGCGGGAGGCAATCATTCAATGTGTATCACTTTGATGTTTCTCTCCCTTCCAATCCCAAGAAATCAATGGAAAAAATATTCTCAGCTGAGGATTTTTTAAAAAAGAAGAATCAGCCAATGTGCACATAAATAAGTGGAACAATAAATCAATGTTTCTCCTTCCCTTCCTCTCTCTCAAATCAATCAAATTTTTTAAAATAACAAAAGCAATAAAATATTTAGGAATAAGTGCCTGGCTGGTGTTCCTCAGTGGTTGAGCATCCACCCATGAACCAGGAGGTCACGGTTCGATTCCTGGTCAGGGCACATGGCTGGGTTGGGGGCTCAGTCCCCAGTGAGGGCATGCAGTAGGCAGCCATTCAATGATTTCCATCATTAATGTATCTATCTCTCCCTTTCTCTGAAATCAATAAAAATATTTTAGGAATAAGTTTAACAAGACTGACACACAAAATATGGCACAGGACCTATATGAAGAAATTGATAAAACCTTACTTAAGGATATAAACCAAGCTCCAAACAAAAGATACCATATTCTTAGATGGGAAAACAGTATATCCTAAAAGTCAATTGTGAAATAAAGATACAATGCTATTCCATTTAGAATCCCAAACAGGTTTTTGTTTCTGTAAATAAGTGCCCAAGAATAGCCAATAGTTGTTTTAAAAAGAGAATTAGGGCCCTTGCTGGTTTGGCTCAGTGGCTAGAGTGTTGGCCTACAGACTGAAGGGTCCTGGCTTTGATTCCGGTCAAGGGCACATGCCGGGTTGTGGACTCGATCCTCAGTGGGGGGGGCGTGCAGGAGGCAGCTGATCAATGATTCTCTCTCATCATTGATGTTTCTATCTCTCTCTCCCTCTCCCTTCCTCTCTGAAATCAATAAAAATATATTTTAAAAATAAAAATAAATAAATAGAGAATTAGGGAACTTGCTTGTTGAATATGAAAAAAACATACTATGAAACAACCAATTAGAGCAATATAGCTTAACATATGGAGTGGTAAACAGTCCAGGGGCAGGGCAGCAAGGAGTGGATCCAGAGGTAGACCTCAATATATAGGAAATGTTATTATATGGCCAAAGTTTTTCAATTTAGTGGGAATAAAGTACGAATTTTTTTTTAATATATTTTATTGATTTTTTACAGAGAGGAAGGGAGAGAGATAGAGAGTTAGAAACATCGATGAGAGAGAAACATCGATCAGCTGCCTCCTGCACATCTCCTACTGGGGATGTGCCAAGCAACCCAGGTACATGCCCTTGACCGGAATCGAACCTGGGACCTTTCAATCCGCAGTCCGATGCTCTATCCACTAAGCCAAACCGGTTACGGCCTTAGGTCATT